ATGATTCTTGATTGATACGATTTTTGATTTTCAACAAGTGGAAAAGAATTGAACAGGTGACCAAGCTCATAAAGTTGACTAATAGAAATTATGTTCAAAGATAGTTGAGGGATACAATAAATATCAGAAAGAAAGATCGAGATGTTAGGCTACAATAGATCCAATGCCAACCAACGACATGAAAGGTCTACTGGATGTTAGGACAGTAGTAGACTAAGGTGGAGATGAAGTAGAAATAAATAGAGATAGATCATTATGATATGTAGGACAATAATCAAAAACTCAAGCGGAGTGAGATATACCTAAAAGATTTGATGAAGACAAACCTATATGACAAAAAAGGGAAGCTGAGAGCCTTGATTCTTACATCTAGATGTGGGGAGACTATTTTCGCATGACAAACTTGTAGGAGGAGAACAGATAAAGCATTAGGGTGTTTCTAGAATTTCTGCATAGTGTTGGGGCAGAATTTGAGATTTCTGCCAACTTTTGGGGCTGTTTTGAAGTTCTGCACAGTGCTGGGGAAGATTCTGAATTTCTGCACAGTTGGGCTGATTTTGAAGTTCTGCACAATTCTGGGGGCAGACTTTGAAATTTCTGCAATATTATGGTGGCATTTGAACTTCTTGCACACTTCCGCGGCTAGTTCTCGAATTTTTTCCAAACTTTGGGTTGATTCTAAAGTTTGTAAAACTAGGGTTTTGGTGTATCATGTGCCTCAAAACTTGGAATCATTCTACTAGAAAATACATCAAAAAGTGATGAAAATAACTGAGTTGGACCCACATAGTTCCGCCACTGTCCATGAACAGTGAACAATGATGACATTGTTCATGAGCAGTGTGGGGTACTGTTCAGACACAACCCTTTTCCCGTGTTGCTGCCTTGATTTCAAGATAATGAGGAACAACCAATCATTGCTAACTCAATTACAAGGGAGTTGCTCTAATACCCTGAAAACTTACATCAAATTTGCAATGAAGAAATAGTAAGTGAGAAAAGAAATCCATATGCAACTCTCTTATATTCTATGATAATAAAACTAGATACAAGAGACACTCTATAAAATATCCTATCATAGAAGAAAGACTAGAATATCTGTAAAAGTAAATACAATCCTAACCCTACCGGGGCGTGATTTTCTACCTATTGAAGTCAGCTATATTATGTACCAAATGCAAGAATGTGAATTCAAGTTGAAAACGACAATTATGACCAATCATCCTAGCTCTATTGATAAGAAAGACCAAGCGCTGGTTAACGACCTTCTACATATTCCGAAAGATGCCCTACATGTGTTTGCTTTCTGGGGGCACTATGAAAATGAAAGTGGGCAACAAACAGCTCTTGCAGTTCCAGAAAACGTACTTTTTCCTGCTTTCAAAGGTCTATACTGGTGATGCCCTTACATTTATATGGCAGTGAAATGCCTTTGCATTTGTTATTAGCTTCTGTGCTTTATTAACAAGCAGTGCACAATATTGTCTCCTGCTTTTAAGAATCCAAATTATCTTTCTTCTAGTGCATGCTGTGTCTTCAATTACTTTTGAGATGTTGCCCAAGATTTTCTGTAGAATACAGAGCACTTGCTGGTTCTTGAGGCTGTTTTTTCCCCAGAAGCTGAATTTCAGGAAAAAATTATTTTCAAGAACCTTGTTTAGAGCAAAAAATTCATTTTCCTGCTGCCTTCTTGTCCTTATGGTAGTAACTGAAATATATATGTGCACTTGGGTTTTCTAGTATTTAGTTGGAAGAATACAAAAATAACTATATTTTCTCAGTAGTGTTATTTAGTTTGAAGAGGTCTATGAAAATACAATGGTTCAACATAATCAACTAGCTCAAAGACAACCCCACCGGCGGTTGGCTAGGATGAGTGGCCTTGGTGCTGCTAGTGAATTCCTTCCTTTTGTCTCCTAATTGCTGATGAGTTGAGGAATTTCTTGAAATTTGGGGGTTTGGAATCAAACTTGTAACTGAGAATGAGAAGAATTTGAAACATTTATTATTATATGCTGGATGAGAAGTGGCAACTACTGTTCTCAAACAACCAATCAGTCATGGTTCTTTAGTTCTCGATTAAAAGGAGAATTAATAAAAAAAGGCTTGATTTGATTTGTTTGGGAGTTTTTGGGATGTCAAAGAAGCAGAATTTCTGTAGGCTGAAAGTTTTAAGAGAATTCTTGCCTCATCTATTGGTGGATGCCTCTATTTATAGACAACTGTAGGGGTTCTCCTAAGAATGAGTTTTCCATAGAGTGCACAATGAACTAATCTCATGAATTATGATGTTGAGAAACATACTTTTAGTTCCGGTGTGGATGACCTACTTTGACGGAACCGAGGAGGGGATTAGTTGAGCTGCGCGTAAGCTAGTCCGGACACCCTTGACCCTTAAACCAAAAAAAGAGAAACTCACTTTTGAATTTCATTTCAATTTATTTTTTTTATGGTCCAAAAAATCTCTGTTCGTCTACAAATTTGGTTTTATGGTTATTGTGCAGCACAATTTATGATGCAACACTATTGTCACTCGGGGAATAGCATGCAAAGCAGGTGTGGATATGGTGTTCCAATTTCTTGCATGTACCTTTGTATCATAATTAGAAAGGATTTGGAATCATTTTGTCTTTGCTATTATTATTACTATTACAATAATTCAACTCAACAAATTATTGTTTGACGAAATAAATTCTGTTTCATACTCTATAAGCGACATACTTTTTTTTTGTATCATCCTTGTTTTTATTGTTGTTATCATTGGTATTATTATTTTTCGTGTCATTGTCGTTCTTATTACTGCCATCATTGTCATCCTGAAAGGGAGGGGATGCTAGCCATGAGTGGTCACATTGTTGTTCTTTTTGCAATGTAATTTTGTGTTGTAGATGCCCGGGGAAGCTATTTTGAAATCTGGTGCATGTGCTTAGAGTAAAAAAGAGCAGTGAAGAATGGATTGCTTGTAGAAAACTTAACATGAACAGAGCAAAAGTCTGGAGATCAGTTCGCAGTTGATATTACCTCAGATAGGATAGCAAAATGTTAAACATCTTTTAGTATCTCTAATAAGGCACCAATCAGAGGGATGCCCTACTAGCAGTGAGTGTTCCTCAACCTAACTAATTTTGATCTGCCAAACAGACTAGCACTTTAAGGTACTATAAGTACATAGCCAACAGACACCCATTTTTAAAAGCATGGTGCTACATAAGAAATCTTGGGTTTACATCACACTTTCACATAAACCACGGTAGATAGAAAAACAAGTTAGGATTTACGTACAAGGTAAACAAAGTTGAAAAATCATGGTAATTTAAAAATTAATTCCACATGCGCATATATGTTACATATATTGGAAAAGGATTGTTACTGATGAGAATATACCCTTTATTGTGATTTCTGCATCACCCACGATGCGATCTCAAGTCAGTTTATCTTGATTGAGATTGGGTTTAGTGGCAAGCTTTGGTCAGATCAACTTAGCTTCTTAACAACCAACCTGAACTGGTGTTTTGGGGAGAACTCATAAGATTTTATGATGACAAACTGAGTGGAACTTTGAGAGATTATCTATCCTTGGCCTACAGTAAATCACCTTGTGCTATTCTTAAGAATTAACAACTAGGCATTGATATATTACAGACTTAATTGAATTTTCTATTCCAATAAAAATTGTGAAGTAAGCTAAACTTTGAGTCAAAGCATGTGCACCAGCTAATGGGTGCAATCAAAAGCAAGGTAAAGTCAACAGGGAAAGCAAAATCTCCAAGTTAAAGAAGAATATCTTCATTTAGAAGTCTCAAAAGCTAGCTTCATAGGGCATTAGATAATTGATACTAGCTTCCATAAACATTACCAAGTGGAGTGTATTGAAAAGCTAGATTTTGTGCTTCATGTGTGATTCTTTTTCCTTTGTTCTAAGATTAGGTCACTTCTTTCCCATCCTGAAATATTGTAAAATCCTAGTATTGAGAAAATGTTGAGTATTTTTGGACTGGTTTCTCTCATCTTCCTAAACTCCAACTCCATTTCAACTTGGATTGGATCCTCTTAATTTCAAATTTATCAGTCGGCTAAGTTCAATCATATGGCGTCAAATTTATTAGCTCTCTCACTTGTGGGTTTCAATGGATCCCAATGCTACAAAGTGAGATTCAATATGTTTAATGCTAGATGATTGAACTTACCGATACGGCGATACTAATCAAATTTGAAATTGATACTAGTTAAATCTATAAACTCTCTCCTATTTTCTGCTAATTTGAAATTGAGACGAGTTTACTTTTGCAACTTTCTTGCTCTTGACCTCTTCATGAATTGGTTCTTTAGTCACAACTGAAATTTTAAAATCTTTACTTCAAAGTTACATTTTTAATTAACAAAAAAGAATTGTTACATATTTTGCATTGTGTCTTCCACTCCGTTGTATCTCAGAATGTCAAAGAATAGCCAGTTCACTAGATTTGCCTGGTGGCAACCTTATTAAATTGCATGCTTCTAAGGGACTATTACGTATTTTTTGGACTATAAGAGGTAACTAAGCAACCATTATGTGATTTTTGAGACTCGACTCCAACTTGTGCTTGGGGTCATATGGTCCTTAACCACTCGGACACTCATTTCTCTTGTGAGCTCATCTTTATATGTTTTATCACGTACAAAGCTCTTGGCCATTTGTATCTTGATGAATGCTGCGAATGAGTTCCAATTTCAACTGGAAAAATATCTTTTCTGTATTCAGAGCGCTTTAGCTTGTCAAAGTGAAATCCTCTAATAGAGTTGAGTCAAATGATAATGAGTGTTTCATGCTTGTGATGGATTGGATTTTAGACTTGAGGATCCTGGAGGTCAACATTGGAGGAGAGCACATGCATTCAATCTTGCCTTTCGTTTCAATTTCTCAAATTTGCCCCATACAAATTAACTAGCTGAGGTCCCCCCTTGCTCTACCCTCCACAGAAAATCTCTCTCTCTCTCTCCCTCCCTCGTGTGTAGGGGCAATGGGGAATGATCAGAGCCAATTTCCATCAACTGTGAAGCTATTCAATGCATATTTGCAATTTAACCATGTCTTTCGTTTCCTGTTTTTTGTTATTGGTTTGTCCATTGGAATCACAGCCAGTTTTTATCTCCAGTGTTTTTCACTCAATTTACAAGCTACCATAGTTTCACCTTTCTCATTATTGCCGCCGCCAGTGCTTCAACCACCACCACCATCTCCATCTAAATCTCCACCGCCACCTCTAGAAATACCAACTGCGCTTGTCTCTGATCAGAGTACCATAGAAATCGATACTCGCTTCTTTGTACACAATATGAGTGACAAAGAATTGTTTTGGCAGGCATCAATGGTTCCGAGGATTGAAGCATTTCCTTATGAGCGTGTTCCAAAGGTTGCTTTCATGTTCTCGACCAAGGGCCCTATACCATTAGCTCCCCTGTGGGAGAAGTTTTTTGAAGGGCAGGAAGGGCTCTACACCATCTATGTTCACCCTGATCCGTTCTACAGTGAAACTTTTCCTGAAAATTCTGTTTTCTATGGAAGAAGAATTCCAAGCAAGGTCTGCTTCTCTCTTACTTTTCATAATTCAGCCATATCTATTAATGTTGAAAAGGTTAATAGCACTTTTGGTCCCTACAATGTGTGTGTTTTGTTAATTTGGTTCTTAAAGTATTCAATCTATATTTAAATGGTATGTTCGGTGAGTTTTTGATGGAAGTGATCACGTATCAAATATTGTCTATTCTCCTTGCCGCCTCCTCTTCCCCTTCTCCACTTCTTGCATTCCTATACTGTGAATTGTAGGGAGAACAGAGAAGCTGAATTCGATACCTTTCATAGACAATGATACTCTATATTCAAGGCACCATCAATTAAACAATTAAGCATTCGTCACAAAAAGGTGCAACAATAAAAAATGCAAGGTGTAAGCACTTGAATGTTGTTCTGAATTTCATACCAGGCTTTAACAAGTGTTTATAATTATCTGAAGGAATATTGGGCTATGTTGAGCCTGAAAATTCAAATTCCCCAATTTCACCCTCAAAACTGTGCCTTTCAGACCTAAAATTTCATGGTTTTAGTTGAATCTGAGTAGTCAACTTCCCAATTATACAAGCAAAACTCTGCCCTTGAGACTGAGCTGGTGAATAGTGAGGGCAAGTTTTGGGTTTTGTAGCCAGCAGTTTTTATTTTCTCATTTCTTTTTCAGACATTCTAATATGAACAGGATTTAAAAAAGAGCCTATTTTCACTAAAACAAAGTATTGAAGCCAAAACTATTGAGACAATCAACAAAATGTATTACAAACAACGGTAGAAGAGTTATCTGCCGTAGACTCAAACAGGTTTTGGGGAGGGATGACTCATTAAAATGTTCTCAGTTTCATGTTATTTAGCTTTAAACTTCTCAAAAGTATGGCTCAGAACATCTATGTAGCAAAGAGCAAATTATTGCATTTGGCAGGTCAATCTAACTATTAATTGGACTAAATACTAGAGAAATTGCTTATATAGTATCCTTCCTACATTGCAGCCAGTACAATGGGGAAAACCATCGATGATTGATGCTGAGCGACGCCTTTTAGCCAATGCTCTACTTGACTTCTCTAACGAGAGATTTGTGCTACTCTCAGATACTTGCATTCCTTTGTTCAACTTCACCACAATTTACACCTACCTCATAAACTCCAATGAGACCTTTGTTGCCTCTTATGATGACCCGAGGAAGATTGGTCGTGGCCGATACAACCATAAAATGTGGCCTACAATATCCATTTCCCAATGGCGTAAAGGTTCCCAATGGTTTGAGGTTAACCAGAAGATTGCCATTGACATAGTATCAGATCAGAAATACTACCCAATTTTTAGTGCGTATTGTCACCCTCCTTGTTACACTGATGAGCATTACATCCCTACACTTGTGAACATTCTCTTCCCTGTGGAAAACTCGAACCGGAGTATTACTAGGGTTGAGTGGAGGAGAAGTGGTCCACACCCTGAAAGATTTACTAAGCAAGATGTTACGGTTGAGTTTCTGAATCACATAAGGTTTGGTGCTAACTGTACTTACAATGGCAACACTACCTCAGTGTGTTTCTTATTTGCTAGAAAATTTGTGCCCAACACCCTACAACCATTGTTGAAAATTGCTTCAATTTTGTTTTCTTCAAATACTTGAAGTGGATATAGAACTTGATTCGTTTAAGTGTATATTTATATCTCAATTTGGTACTAGTTATTGTCTGTACTTGAAGATATGAAGTAAAAAAATTGTCAATAATAAACATATTTATATTTATACTCAAAATAAAATTGTAAATAAAGAGGAGAGAGAAAGAAATTTAAGCACCGGTTGTAGGGGAGGTGAACGATGGTAAAGGTGGTGAAAGACTGTGATAATTGTGGTGAGTGGCGACGACCGTGGTGATTATGGTAGTCGTGGGTCACAACGGTGACGATGGTGGTGGGTTTTGGGTGACAGTAGTAGTGACAGTCATGGATGACGGCGGTGGTGTGGTGGGGGTGAGTGATAGTGTGTGGTAGTAGTGGTGGGCGATGACGGGTGGTGGGGGATGAGTGACAATGGTTGGTTGTGATGGTGGGCGAAGAAGGGTGGTGGTAGGTGATGGTGGGTGCTGACGATAGGTGATGGTGGTGGTGGGATGATGGTGGTAGTGGTAATAAATATAAGAATGAGATGACGATGGTGGCGGGTAATGGTAGAGGACTACGATGGTAGTAATCGGTGGTGGGGGGTGGTGGCGGCGACAACTGTGACACCCCAAAAATTGAGGGTCCCGTTGATCGCCCATCAACCCGCGAAATGCCTGTGGATATCGTATAACTCGATACCACACCGTTGTATCCCATTTACCGGAATTCATAATTTAACAAAATCGGGTAGAGTCTCCTTTGTACGGGGAAACTCTACCCAAAACATAACCTTTGCATCGTACCATCACATGACCCATCTGAGGTCTCATATACAAATGTTGACCACACCGGGTTCATTTATAAGAAAACATTGATCACACTAGGTCCAATTATCCATACTGTCACATCATGAGTTTATGCATTAAACATAGTTAATACAAATTCAAAATTATAATTCCTTTACAACATTACATGCCAAAACGTAGTTTTAACAAAAGTTTACAAAACAGTTATGGTTAAAGGCCACATGTCGGCCCCTCTTCATCCTTGAGGTCCTGAATGAGAGTCCTTTGCCGGTACGCACCCCACACTTAAAAATTTTTTCATATAGGGTGAGCCAACGCCCAGTAGAATACTTCCTACAGAGGCTACTCCCCATCCTAAGTGCATATGAAATGTGCACATGCAACAAGCCACCACAATATCCACTCCAACAATAATAGACAATTCAATGTTGAAAAATGATAATGCCATGTCATGCCATGAAATGAGATGAGACTCACTCATGTACCTAATCCCGAGTCCACACCGACTTCCACCACACAATGCGATGTACTTGTATAATGAACCCGTCAATTGACGAAAATACATCCAATGACCGTTTGAAATAAAGTTATGTTTTTCTTGTAAAACCAAGTCATTGATGGATGTTACCCATTGAATGAGTGTTTTATATAATAAAATCTTGTGTCTTTGTTGGGTAGCGGAGTTTTGGAATCACACCGCAGGTTTCGCAGATCAAATACACTTTTCTGGAATTTCACTGTCGAGAAGTGTATGAACCAAGTGGCTGAGTTTTTCACCTGAGAGAGAGTCTAGCTCTACTTGTTGTACCCGACACAAGTTTTCTCATGAATGCAATTGTGTGACTCAATAGGATGTTCCATCCCACTTTTTCGAGCCCACCACCAACCACCAAGGATGATGTTTGATCAACCATGCACCCACACACCCGCACTCAAGCTTATGGATGTGTTTATTCCGTGCATATGCAATGTAATGCATTATTGCGAACTACTATCATGTTCAATATGTAATGAATGTCATATGAACAATATCAACATATCCCATGATCAATTATATCCAAACATATAAATTCCTTGATCATCATAATGCTAACATATCGTTAAGCATACATTAATATAACCTTCCAAGTTGTAAATCACATCATAAGCATATGATTTCACTTTACCACATTTTCCAAACATGTTAATTTATCAAACACAACTTCAATCATTCAAGGTATTTTATCAAACACCTTCAAGGCACCAATCATGTAATCACATAATTCACTCATATGCATCGTATAACTCAAGAAATCATATTAAGTGATTTCTACCATTGACCACCCGTCAACCCATGGAAAGATCCATGAATGTCACACAAACCGACATCACGTCAATAATATCTCTTTTGTCCAGGATTTTAACTCACACGTGTAACCCGTGATCCTTTAATCATTCAATCCAATCGAGGTCTAACACACCTCGATATATATCATTTGAAACCAAAGAACACATAGTGATGAGTGCAAAATATTGCATATTTGAAGGCCTCATTACATGCATTTCAACTCAACTTTTGTATGAAAGTACTTAGAGTGAGCTGAAATTATGAATAATGTTGATATTTTGATTTTGCAAGTATTTATAGCATAAATCAAGTATTTTAGAACCTTGCAACTATCTTGGATGTGTGGGGGAAGGTATGACCACATCACATGAGGATTTGGAGGTTTAGAAGTTAAGAAATCAAAAAGGTATTGGTGTTTGGTAACAAAGGCACCAGCACTAGCTCCCTCTGGTGAAAGTACCTCTATTTTTCTCCATTTTGACCATGATCCACTCAGAATATGGAAAAGTTTAAAACACAACAATTGTAGATTTGAATGTCTTATGTATTGTGTCAAAATTTCAGCTCAATCCAACAGTTGTATCAAAATTTATGACGATTATACGACAACTGGTCCGGAGCAGAAAAGTGTACCAGATTTTCTTCACCCAATTTCTATATCCATTGCAAATCCTTTATTACAAGATTTATTTAGCAATTTAAGCACCCTTTTCCCACACTTAACATACACTAATGATGCATTCAACAAGATAATTTACCTCAAGTCATGCCACTCATTCTCAATATCCCTTTTTAACAAAATAATCAATTTCAAACTAGAAATTGATTATATCCTTTCTACACCAACTCTTTAACCATAGACAAGTGAATTACATAGTTTCATATGCCTACCATTTTTCCATCCAACCAACTATGGTAGGAAAATTTTAAAATACACAAAACAATCCATGTAAACCCAAATTTTCAAGAGTTTACACTAATAGCTTCCACATATCAAATGTGAGCTAAAACTTGATTTTCCTTTCTTCTCTTTTAATCTCCCTCACTTTATGTAACGCCCCAAAAACCCCCGTGGGTGACATTACATTCTAAAAACCATTTACCGTATGAGAGCATTAAGTAAAATTCATCACGACGAAAGTTTCATTCATCAACCATTCATATTTTAACAAAATTTGGGCAGAGTCTCCTTTGTACGGAGAGCTCTACCCAAAACACAACCTGTACAATTATATTACAATTGACCACACCGGGTCCACATATGCATAACTATTGACCACACCGGGTCCATTTTTCCATCATAAAATAAACTTGCATTCATCATATGTCATATCCACACTATCATCCCAAATTAATAGGTCTAATCTTGGCTTTTACATCTCCAAAATGTAATAATATAACGCAGCGAAAATAACAGAAATGAACTAGAGTTCAAAAGGATATTCTAAGCATAATCTAGTCTAGAACAAAATAAAAGTGTCGCTCTAAGCGTCCACCTCGGGATCTACATCCCCGTCAAGCGGAGTCTTCCAATGGGTGGGCTCCTCGGCTCCTAACTCCTCCTCGAGTGTGAAATCTGAAAAAATTTTATTTGTAAGGGGTGAGCACGAAGCTCTGTAGCAAAATCCTCTCAACTCAAACAAGGTTTGAAAAACATAGCAAACGGTCGGTCTCATTTCACAACTAACAAATATATAGGTTTGTAATGAAAACAGTGATATTTTAAAAGAGATCTCAAGTTTAAACAATAGCAATAATCAGTTAAAAGAATAAAGTGAGTTTAGCATCGATAAACAAAATTCTAATTTAAGCTATTTAAGAAGGGTTTCTCCCTAAGCATTGTCCCATACCAATGCATCGGCAAGAACGACCCAACTCCCGATTCCATGTATTTTTGGTTCATCCCCGTACCATGTATGTTGATTGCTTCTCGTGAATCTACCTAACGATCATGCCTAGTCCACCAATTCCAACCAACAATCACAAATCTCTTTAGGAAGGGCGTGTACCGTCTCCTACGGCATTGACGAAATCCTCCCAAGGTGTCTAGTATACTAACCCTTTTCCTCGGTGTATATGTGAACAATAGTGATCGCGAGCACAACAACGATCCACTACGAGCATTAGGCAACCATCTCACCTCCTATTGGGATAGACTAACTTCTAACACTCTACGGCATCTCTCGAAGGTAATCCAAGTCCATCACAACAACCATACAATGAGGAAATCAAGAATATTCACAATTCACAACAATTTCCCAAATATAGTAAAATCCTCAATTTTGTTTTCACATTTGTCATATAATCGAACAATCCAAGAAAATATGCAAGAGATCATAATCTATATCATTTTGTTATATAATATTCAACACTAAAGTTTTAAAATCAAGGTCAAAGAAGAAATTAGGAGAAAATCTCATTTTCTTGAAAACTAGGGCTTTGAAGATAAAAAAAAAATCAATAGAGCTTTGGTGGTTACCCACCCTTCATATTGTTCAAAACATGACATTTATTACAAATAGAACAAGAATCATGTATTTCATATTATATATATGAGAAGGAGAGTGAAAAAACATATATCTATATACATATATATATCTAGCCTCAATGTGAGAGATTGAGAGAAAATCTCCTACCTTAAATCAAGATTCCAAGCTAAGACCCAAGCTTCGCGACCTTCTTGCTCTCCTTTATTTTCCTCTTAATCTTCTCCTCCTAGGGTTTCAAAAGATTTGGGTGAGAGGGTAGCAAGAATGGAAGAAAATGAGAGGAGAATGTATTCTTGAAGAATTTGAAGTTTTGATTTCTACAAGGTATAAATCCCTCTTGATTGGTATTTCTATCTTTCTCTCTTCCTCTAAAATGGTTCCTAGGGTTTGGAGGGGTGAAATG